TATATCTGGGCCAGGATAAAGGAAAGTATTAGGAATTCTCTTCTTTGACTATGATCTTGGTCCTTTCGTGAGTTAGATTTCCTCATCATGGAGTTTAAGATGGATGGTATACTTAATGACTTTTTAAAAATACTCTGCAATGTATCCTCACTCCAAACTAAGACTCTTCCACTCTTCAGAACTATTTTGTCTTTCCTTCAAGTAGACTTAAGTCTTCAACTTCAGAAAGACTGAATTCATGAAATCTGAGTTCTCTTATAAAACATATTTACCTCAATTATGTTTTCAAAACTGTTGTCCTTCCCTGTAGTCTTATTGGAGGTATGATTCTTCTAGGTTTTATATTTTAAAATTTTTTTATTTCTGATTTTTACTTGAAAATTTCTATTTATTGGTTGATTTTTCTTAGGAGGGGGAAATTTTGATTTGTTGTTTTACTTATTTATGCATCCTTTCAGGTTTTTGGTTGTTGCTTTTCCTCTCCATGGACTCCTTCCCTTGTTCCTTCAAATGTGGTTAAGAATGGGTTCTGGAGCTCTACGGCCTGGCTTTAATTCCTGGGGCGGCTGCTTACTGTCTGAGCAGGTTTCTTAACCTTTCTCCTTTAGTTTCTTCATCTATAAAATGAGAAAAATAATAATTCCTATCTCATAGTGTTGGTGTAAGGATTAAATGAGTTAGTGCTGTGAGTTACACAGAAGGGTGCCTGACCCTCGGTCCACGGTAGTTTTACCGTAATCAGAGCCATCTTCCTTTTCCTCCTCACCCTCCTATGCCTGCTCTGTCACTAAGATATGTCAGTTTCCCTTTTTAGACTAGAGCATTCATTTCTCATTTCCCACTGCTACTGACACCATTGTAGACCATGACGTTACTACCTCATGCCACAGTTTCCAAGAGAGCTTTACTTAACTCCTGCTTCTGACGTGTCCTTTGTGCTCAATGTTTCTCAGTAGTAAACGAATAAAAGCTTCAGATTGTCACTCCCTTCTTCAAGAGCATGCGACAGTTTTCCAGTCATGTGTTATCAAGCCCCAGGTTCCTGTCTGACTCTGGCTTAGCATTCTCCTCTCGTTCCACTCCAGCCAGTCTCATGTTTTCTCATCTGCATCGTACACTTGGACATTTGCTTATGTTCTTTCTTCAGGCTTTATGCTCTTCCTTCATGCCCCTGCCCTTCTATTCTTACTATTTCTGTCCTTCCAGTACTTCAAGAGTCCAATGCTTCTAAGAAGACTTTCTGATGTTGAAGAACTGAGTTTGGGTAGGAACAGGATTAGTGAAACTGGGAGAGGCTCATCCTAGAAAGACAGGTTGATTTAGAGATCAGAGTATGGGGGTTAGGGCCTTTAAATTCAAGAATGGGAAATAGAGCTAGAGTCTGAAAAGTAAATCTCAGATGGAAGGACCAGTTTAAGGTATAAGGATGGGAAGTGGAGGAATGGGATATGAGTGACAACTGAGAGCAAAGCAGTGTTGAAAATCTAAGATGTAATTTGGATTTGAGACCAGAGCAGATCCAGATGGATCAGATGGTTTTTAAGGCCCACATGGCCAGGCAAGATAGCATATTTTTGAATTGACAAGGGTGAGCCAGTAATGTTAAAATCAGGAACAGGTGTTAGGAATGTGAAGCGGTCAGTATTGGGCTCTTGAGCCCTGAAAGATTGGGGATATAACCAGGTGAAATACAGCCCCTGATTAAGCTAGAGTATCCAGATCAGTATAGGATGACAACAAAGCTGTGTTTGCTGAGCCATAGAACAGAGTACCTTTCCTTCTGGCGTTGTTGGGAATATTACTGTATTAGGCAACTTAATAGGCTCCCTTGGATAGAGTGATTACCATAAATCTGACTGATAAAGCCCTGGGTGAATTCCGTGTGCTTAGTGTGTGTCCCATATTATGTAGCTCCCAAGTAAGCACATCCCTGTTTTGTGTTGCTGGGATTGACTTACGTGAATCTCTTTCTAACATTCGCATCTTAGACTGGTTCAGATGAGTGTCATTTATTTACTTATGTTAAATCCTCACCCAGGGAAATGCTTTTACTGATTTTAGAGAGTGAGGAATGAAAAGAGAGACAGAGACAGAGAGACACATCAGTTGGTTCCCTCCCAGGGATTGAATCCCAAACCTGTGTGTGTGCCTTGACGGGGAATGGAACCGACCACATTTCGGTGTGTGGGATGGCACCCCAAGCACTGGGCCCTGCCAGCCAGGGCAGGTGAGGAGCATTTTACAAATAGAGCTTCACTGTGGTATGATTAGCATATAGCTACGTATATGTAACGTGCACAGTTTGATAAGTTTGAGCTATGTATACACCTATGAAACTCACCACTGTTACGATAATGAACATATTCACCATCCTCAGGTTTCCTTGTGCCCTTTGTAATTCTTCTTCCACATCCACTGATATGTTTTCTGTCACTGTACAGGGTGGGGCAAAAGTAGGTTTACAGTTGTGGGTATGCAAAACAGCTGATTCTTATATTGTTATTTATTAAGTATTGTGTTATTTTCCATATGAACAACTGGAAACCTACTTTTGCCCCACCTTGCAGATTACTTATATTTGCTAGAGTTGTGTAAATAGAATCACATAGTATGAACTTTTTTTGTCTGCCTTCTCTTACTTAGTATATTTCTTTATTGATTTTTTTTACCATTTTAAGTACAATTATTTGAGTGTGTCAGTAGTTCATTCCTTTGTATTACTGAAGAGTATTCTATTGCATGGATATACCTAAATTTATTTATCTATTCACCTTTTTTTTTTTTAAATCCTCACCTGAGGATATTTTTTCCGTTCTTTTTCACGGAGAGTGGAAAGGAGAGAGAAAGAAACATTAATGTGAGAGAGGCACATCGCTTGGTTGCCCCCCACCCTGACCAGGGCCTGGGACGAGCCTGCAAACTAGGCACGTGCCCCTGGCCAGAATCAAACCCGGGATCCTTCAGTCCACAGGCTTATGCTCTAACCACCGAGCCAAACACCTAGGTCTCCATTCATGTTTTGAGGGTTATTTAGTTTCCAGTTTTTGGCTATTGGAAATAAAACTGGGATGTACTTTAGTGTACAAATCTTGATGTGGACACGTTGCCTTTTTTTTTTTAGGTAGTGGAATGTCTTGCGTCATAGGGCAGAGTATGTTTAACTTTTTAAGAAGTTGCCAACTGTTCTCCAAGGTAGTTGTACTGTTTTACAGTTCCACAAGTACAGATTGAGTTTCAGTTCTACATCCTTGCCGTACTTGGTGTGGTCACTCTTTAATTTTAGCTATTGTAGTGAGTGTTGAGTGGTAGCTCATTTTAGTTTTAATTTGCCTTTCCTTAATGACTAAGTGAAGTTGAGCATTCTTTTATGTGCTTATTTGCCATCCCAGTGTATTCTTTGATGAAGTATCTATTCACATGTTTTCCTATTAAAATTTTTTAAAAATTGTGATAAAATATGCATAACAAAATTTACCATCTTAACCATTTTTTACCATTTATGTGAACAGCTCAGAACAGTGGTAAGTATATTCATGATGTGCAACCAATCTTCAGAACTCTGTGTCTTGCAAAAACAGTTACCTATTTTTTTAAAGTATTGGGTTGTTTGTTTAGGTGTTTTTGATGTATTCAGATACAAATCCTTTATTAGATATATGTTTACAAATATTTTCTTCAAGACTGTGTTTTGTCTTTTCAGGTTACTGGGCATCTTGAAATTGGTCATATTGGAGGAGTGATTTACTCCATATTGTTGGCAAATTGCTACAAATTAGGGCTTTATTATTATTTTTTTTTGATTTTTTGATCTTTTAAAAAAATTTTTATTGATTGATTTTAAAAACGAATTACTTTTTAGAGATGGGGGGGAAGGGAGAAAGAAAAACATCAATTTGTTGTTCCACTTATTTATGCTTCATTGGTTGATTCTTGTATGTGCCCTGAGTGGGGACTGAACCCACAAGCTTGGCTTGTTGGGATGGCACTCTAACCAGCTGAGCTACCTGGCCAGGGCTTGATTTTCTGTCTTAAGACAGTAATAAGGGAAGGTTAATAATGCAGATTCAACTTAAAATTATGTTGTGTCTGTAGCCTTTACATTATGAATGGCACAAAAAAGCGAGGAAGGAAATATTCTTTCTAGTATTTGAAAGCTATTATCTAATCAGTAAAGAAGTCATTCATGTCATTGTTGAATGAGTGTTGTCATTGTTTCACTCTTGTCAACTGCAGCCGTCTTTGGCTATGAATAAAGGAGTCAAGGTAAAATCAGTGAAAACGATGTGACAGTTGGCTATGTGGAATTTGCAATAAAGAGTATCACATATTTTTTCATTATTTGTAAGTCGTGTGGTACATATCTTTTTAATTAAGTTAGATTTATAATGAACTTATTTACATATGTATATGTATACTTCCCCCGCAGAGCCAGTTGTTAAATATTTACCAGTATACCACTGGCCACACACGAATAAGAAAGCACTCAGGGAAATGTTCCTAGATTAGGTAACTTGAGTGAGTCACGAGGGGAAAGTGCGTTGCGGAGGCAGTCACCTCACAGGTGGAAAGGGGACGGAAGAGGGCCAGGCCTCTCACCTGGCGGGGATTGCCTTGTAGCTGTAGGGTGTTGTTTTGCTCTGATTTGACTTGGTCTTGGTCTGATCATTGTTACGGGACAGTCTGTTAATGGTATTGAAGGGGAATGTTAAAAACCCATACTCCATTAGTGTTCCATTAGCATCTTCAAGTAAGCTTTGGATATCTCCAGATTGAACTTTTCTTCTGACTAAAAAAATCGCACACTTCTTTTTAAAATTTATATAGGAACACAGAACAATTATGTTTCCTGTTATCACCTAGAAGTTCATTATTAGTTACATTGCTTTTTAATCTGTTCACTTATGTTTACCAGAGTTATATTTCTTTCAGAAGTTTTTTTCAGAATATCTTGATTTTTGAATCTGATGATTATTAAGTTTAAAAAATATTTTGTTTTATAGCCATGCAGGATATACGTACTGTGGGTCTTGTGCTGCTCATGCTTACAAACAAGTGGATCCATCTATTACGTAAGTAATAAAGTTAGAGACGGTTTTGTTATGGGATAATGCTGGGAATTATATCATAATTGCTTTGTCACTGAAGTAATTTGTTTTGTATACTTACTGTTATTATATACTGTATTTCATTAGGAAGTTGACTTTTTATAAATTTGATTATATCTTTTATAGGTTATAGAAAGCTTTAATACTATCTTTCATTGTCTGAACATTTAGTTTTTACCTTCCCCTTGGTTGGTAAAATGTTTAGTTCTGGAAATGTTAGAAGGTTAATGTGATATTGTGATTTATAAGAAATATATATTTGGTCATCCAGATGACCAAAATGTATTTCTCATGTGTGTTTGGTATTCATCCACAGTTCCTGACTCACACACGGGTCCCCAAACCCTTGGAATTCCCCTGAGTGTTGCGTATGATAAAGGTGTCTCCTTACAGAGAGGTGTAATGAGGTGATGTTTGGGTCCCATCTAGGATAGGGGCTGGCTGCCAGGAGAACCAGTCACGTGATTAGAGGGTGGGATCTTTTCAGTCCCGCTCCTGGCCTCTGGGGATTGAAGAAAGCCTGGAGGTTGAATCAGTCGCCAGTGCCCAATGATTTAAACAATCATGACTATGTATTGAAGCCTCTATCAAAACCCAAAAGGATAGGCTCGGAGAGCTTCGGGTTGGTGAGATCTCAGGGAGAGTGGTGCTCTGGAGAGGGCACGGATGTTCCATTTCCTTTCCCCACACCTCACCCTATGCATCCTTTTATAATACACCAGTGGTTTTGTAAGTAAAATGTTTCTTTGAGTTCTGTGAGCTGCTCTAGCAAATTAATGGAACCTAAGGAGGGGGTCATGGAACCCCTGGTTTATAGCCAGTCTGTCAGAAGTACAGGTTACAACCTAGGTTTCCGACTGGCATGTAAAGTGGGGGTCGTGGGAGCAGTCTTGTAGGACTGAACCCATAATCTGTGAAGTCTGATGCTATCTCCAGGCAAAGTGTCCAAGAATTGCTTGTTGGAGTTGTGGAGAACAGGCCCCCCCCCCCCATTTTGGAATTGGGTCCAGGAACACTAACAGTTAAACATTGGTTAAATTTTTATTATGTTTTTGAAAATCTGGAGATGAGCATTTTTAAGAAAAATGCAAAGCCCTCTATTGTATTTTAATCACTTTGTAATTTAAAATTATTTATTGTACTTGTTTAAGTTGTGGTTAATGAAAGAATAATTTCTTGTTGACAGGATAAGGTTATCTGAATTTAGGATTGGACAGTGTATTCCATAGGGTTTTTGAAGCATATAAGCGTTTAATATTGATGACAGCTCTGAAATTACCTTTATAAAAATCTTCCTCACAAATTGAGACTGAGTAGTATATCACTCTCTAAAATGAGAAACATGAACTTTCAAACATATCTGCTGGAAATAGCCACCTAAGTTACTAATTTTCTGACCAGCATTTTCTTTAAATGGTTAATTTACTACATGTGAACCGGTATCAGGGTCCAGTCTGTATTGCTAGTTATATACATACTATGTGAATAGATAAAATCAGCCGTCTTAATTCCGCTTAATGTTGATTGTTAGTAGTAGTACTAGTAATAGTAGTACGTATGTACTAGTAGAGATGAAGCATAATCATTTAAAAGAAGTAACTCACAGCAGTCGTGAGTTTAAAAGAAAATCTCACCCACAGTCTACTCTTTTTCCTTTGAGCAATTTGTTGTTTTTTAAAACAAAAAAGGTGCTCTTTTTTTGTTTTTATGTAGTGTACTCATTGTACTGTACCTTTGTTGAAAATTACTTTTAGTAAGTTTTAAATAAACAAAATGATACGTTGCCAAATTGATGAGGCTTTGGTTAGCCCTGCCTCATTTTTGATGTTTTGAGGGGCATCTTTACAAATATTTCTTGATACATGTTTAATATGCAATTTTAACTAAATTATTTCATAAGAGCAAATAGATAACAGATTGGAAAGATTTTCAAAAGTTTCCTTTATTTAACCCTGGACCTTAAACCAGCTATCATCAAGGTTAGTTTATGTAACAGCTTTTCCCAAATATTTTTCTATTTGGCAAAATCCTTATTGATGATGATATGTGCTGGAAGGGTACCCTTGAATTAAATTTGTAGCCAATATCGGTAGAAGTGAAAACTTGTGTTAAATAATTTGATGGAAAATGAGACTGGAAGGAAAAAGATAAAACATAAAAAAGCAAGAGAACCACAGACTTGGAAAACGATGAAGGAGATCGGTAAAAAGAGAGGCAAACGATGGGTGATGATGTAATCCCATTATTTTTTGTAATTAGTATATAATAATTGAATTCTGAATAAATTAATTTGAAGGTCTGAGTGTTAAAAATAATAATTGACAGTCATATTTGTATTCTCTTGAAAGTGCCCCTCTGGGATTTGCACTGTCTTCAGAGTGCTTTGAGAAAACAGAGAAAAAACATCCTTTTGGGAACTCAGAGTAATAAAGAATAGTTCTAGAGAAGGTTAATTTCTGTACTGTCAGCTTCCATTCTCACCTTTCGCTCTAAGTCATTTTCCACGTGTCAATCAGAATCATCTTTTGCACTCTCTTACCCTTTGAAGGAATCTTTTTACCTTTGTATGATTTTTGTAACATTTGCATTGAACATTTGGAAAGCATTTGCTTATTGAGTTATATAGATCTTTCAAATGTTGACATTTATCATACAATGTAAAAAAAATACCACATGTTAGTATCACACCAGTTTCATCAGAAAAATATTTAACTATCAGGAAGCTGTCAATCTCACAGCATTAGAAGTTTTGCAAAAGTCTAATTTTCACTTAAAAACTTCAATTTTATTATTGGCAACAAATACGTCAGATGTCTTCTTTGAAGTGGCAGGCTCACTTTGATCATCCTGTTAGAAAATTTCTGCCAGCTACCTAAATTGCAATAACTATAATTTGTCTACAGTCATTTTTGGATGTAAAAATTGTGTTCCATGAAAAAAAAGTCTAGTTTAGCTCACTACTCACAGTCACACTAATGCTTTTCCCTGAGACATATTCTGTATGCAGCAGAAGTGCCTTTATGCATTTATCACCACAAATTGAATGCGTTTTGTCATACAGAATATTTTTATAAAATTATACTCACATTTCAAGATTTAATGAAATTAAGTAAAACTGGCCTTTAAAAACACACCAGAAACGTGTGGAGAAGAATACATAACTCCTAGCGCATTTTGATCCCATTGCCTTGATCATAGTGCTGATGTGCCAGCAGTTTACCCAGCCTCACTTTTCTACCGTAAGTGCAGATGTCATCGCACTGAAAAAGGCACATAACTTCTTTGTATTATCATGAAAATAGTTTTGATGTTGCGGACTCCTTGAAAGGGTCTTGAGGAATTTATGGCTCACACTTTGAGAACTGCTGTGATACAGGGTGATCAGATTTAGATTGTGGTTAAGGTCTGTGGATTAGGTTTTGGGGAAAGCATCTCTGAGGAAATGATGTTAAACCAAGCAAAGGGAACGTGTGCAGGCTTTGGAGTAGGCAAAGTTTGTATCATCAGGGAACAGCAAGACGACCAGTAACAAAGAATTGTGATCAAGGGGAAGAGTAATACAAAAAGGGGCCAGTTTACTTGAGACTTTAGAACCCATTTTAAGGGTTTTGGATTTTACCCTCTGACTAGGGAAAGCCATTGAAAGACTTTTTTTTTTTTTTTAAAGCAGGAGAGTGTAGGATCCAATTTATGTTTCAAAAATAGCACTCTGGCTGGCTGTTTAAGAAATTTAAAAAATGATACATTTAGTTAAGTTCTTTCCATATTTATAGTTGCAAAGCCTTTTCCTATTACTAAAACTTTAATTAAAAATAAACTCAGGATATACTTAGACAGTAACTTGATTCATATGTTTCAGAAAGTCTGGCATGGCAGAAAAAGAGAACAAAAAGGAATCTTATTTGGGGCCACACAACTTTTTATTATTTAGTTAAAATATCTGCACTTTCCATGAAACTCCTTTAAAAAATTACTGGTGTTACATTATTTAGAATAAGTAGTTGAATATTTATGAGGGCACTCAGGTAACTTATGTATTGGGTGCACAGATAACACCCATAGAAAGTAACTCCACAAATGTGAATTCTCTGAAGGTATTATATGTGAATGACATTTATTTCTAAGAGAATGCCTACCAATTTCCCCCCGTTTTTTTATGTTAAAGGTTTTTTTTACATTTGTGACAACTGTGATGACATGCTAATATTTAAAAGTTACTTCTTTAAAGATAGAGCACCTTGTGATTTATTAAATGGACAGAAAGTGACATTTCTTTTAATGCATTTATTACTCATTTCTCTCCAAAATATTTCTATGGCCTTGGTGTTTCTGGATCTAGCAATCTACCAAAAAAGAAAAAGAAAATGCATTATCTTTTATTTATTAATATTCTTTTTGTTAGCATATGGCTAACAGAAACCCATTTTGTGATTACTGTTGGTTTTAATATGCACTTTTTTCTTCAGTGATACCTAGCCTCTTTTGGTTTGTTTTCGGGTATATCACTTTTAAGGGTTTTATGCTGATGGGACCTCTTAGCCTCTTTTTTCCTATTATCTCTCTTCACCAAGTGTGGAACTTCATATTTGGGTGAGTTTCTGCCAAACTGGAGAGAATCTGTTGGGTATATAACCGGATAATTCAGACGAGGGAGCTCTTTTCCCCCGCAGTCTTCATCGTGTCATCTAGTTTGGGTCTGACAGAAAGGCAGGCGAGGTAAATAGTATTAGAGGAGGCAGTTAGGCTTTCCAGGCCCCCCATGCGTCTTTATTTCTGGATAGTGCTCATCTTTTGGCCACTGTGAGAATTTTGTTACACTTACCTATGAAACGTATCTATACCTTGAGTTTAGATTGATATTTTAAAATTCTTTTCATGTTTTAATTATCCTGGATTTCCCAGGAGTGTTCTGATTTTAAATATTACATCCCTCTCCCCTCTCTTTTCATAGAAATGTATTCCTCAAACATAAAAAATGCCTCTTTTCATCCTTGATTCTTGCTCTTAGGCAAGCCACTTAAATACTCAGTTACCACTGTCTGTGTTCCACATTAGATATTAATTACAACAGTCGTGGTGATATTGATGTGCTGTTAAAACACCTTGCTGACCAGTCACGTGTGTACGTGTGTTTCTGTGTCCGAACGTTGCTGCCCCGTCACGAGATAACTCGTGCCTGCACTTACATTAATTTAAGTGATTTTAAACACCTTGCTGACTGGCTACGATGGAAAAGTAGCCAGCCACATGGCGAGTTCTGGTTCTAAATAGCCGGTGGGCAAGGTGTTTAAGATAGGAGAACATAGTGGTATCTATTTTTGTTCATTTAGGAATCAGTAGATTTGATCTTTTTTCTGAAATGGTTATTGAGTTGATCATAATGGTGATGACAAGAAGTGAGTATTGTCAGTGGGGGGAGGGGCAGGAAAAGAGGTTCTGTTTCTGACGAGAAATGGCCTTTGGATGCAGTCTTACATGTTTGCGATGTGTGATGTCTTAAGGTTTTGGGATTCTGAACGTAGATCACCTTTTCCTTGTCCATATCTTTCTCATTCCCAGCCCTCCAACTAGCAAGTAACATACAACAGGCAATAGGTTACTTTTCTTAGCTGTAGTAGAATTTTATAAAAGTAAATATATTGCTAAAGCATGCATTCTTTGGCCTGCTAGTTTCTGATATGAAAGAACTAGCTCATGTGTCAGTCTTTGTCGATTGAGCAATGAGCAGTTCTTAATTTTCTAGATATATAGCCAATCATATATTCCCTTCTTTCTCAGAAGTTTGGCTTTTTGGGGTCTGTAAGTTTGCGTGTGAGTGTGGTGTGCAAGTGTGTAAGTTTTGTTCATATGAATCTAGGAGAACAGAGAAAATTGATAGTTTTGGAATTTAGATTGTAGAGTTGTTGGAGATAAAATGAAAGGAAGTTAATTTTGCTCCTGATGTCAAAATAAAAGGATTGTAAAGATTTAAGCTACAGTTTAGCCCAGCTCTTTTCTTTAGCCTACAGTGCAGATAACACATCATCAAGTTTCTTTGTTTTGGAGAATGACTTCTACTTTAAATGGGAACAGAGAAAGCTTATTGTACAGAATTCTCAACAAGATGCCATTTTTCTCTGCCATGGGAGACATGTGAAAATAGCTTCATCAGAAGGCTTCTTTGTAATGACATTTTGCATGGACTTTTAGAATCTGTACTATTATGTGTTTTTATTAAAGTTGTGTTAGACCTTAGAAGGCCAGTTTTGAATGCATTAGAATTTTGAGACTTTATTTACTAGCTGAAATGTTTAAAATTGAATTAATATAGTTATTGAAAACTTTCTAGCCATTGTAAATACACACATGATTTTAAGCATAACAGGTTGGTTTACTGTAGATAATTAGTAACTGATATTTCCAGGTGTTGAACATGATTCTTTTAAAGACCTTCCAACATAAAGACAGATAAAGAAGTAAACTTAAATAGCTGAGGAGCAAATCATTAGTAGGTACATCAGTTTGCTAGGGCTGCCATAACAAAATACCACAAACTGGGCAGCTGAAACAACAGAAATTTATTTTCTCACAGTTCTGGGGTCTGAAAGTTCAAGATAGCGGTGCTGGCAGGGCTGGTTTCTCCTGGGGCTCTCCTTGGCTTGCAGATGGGTGCCCTCTTGCTGCCTCTTCATGGGGTCACCTCTGTGTGTGTGCACCCCTGGTGTCTCTTCCTCTTCCTTTAAGGACACCAATCATACTGGATTCAGGCCTCACTCTAACGGCCTCATTTTAACGTAGTCAACTCCTTAAAGACCTTATCTTCAGATACTGTTACATTCTGAGGTGCTGGGGCTGAGACTTCAACATACGAATTTTAGGGGACAGCAATTTAGCACATAACAGACAGTAGGCAATGAAATCAATCAAGGAAAACAGTACTACATGTAATTTAAAAAATGTACTCTTTTTTTTCTTTTATTTAATAAGATTTGTGTAGAAGTGCAATTGTTCTGTGTTCTTTGTTGTATATCTCCTAGCCGGAGGATTTTCATCCTTGGGCCTTCTCACCATGTGCCCCTCTCTCGATGTGCACTTTCCAGTGTGGATATATATAGGACACCTCTGTATGACCTCCGTATTGACCAAAAGAGTAAGTATATAGAAGTCATCTAGCTTTAAAACAGCTAAAGGTTTTAAAATAGGAATTACAAGTTAATGTAAAAAATTTAAAAATATGAATATCAAAAGTAATATCTCAATTTTAAAAATAAAGTTTGTTGTACTTAATCTACGACAATAAAAACAGAGAAAGGAAATCTTCTATATGCTTGAAAGAGAACCACAGTTTTTTTGCCAGCCACAAAAATCTGTCAGATCCACTAGTCTCCAGACTGTAGTGGTGGCATTTATGTTCAGGGAAGTACTATGTACTCACTGTACTGTGAGACAAGAAATCGGTTCCCATCACAACTGGATGAAAGATTCTGGGTGGGTTAGTCTACCTCTGTGTATATCACTTTCCTCCCTGTAAATAGATAATGGTGATAATGCCTTTATTTCCTCTCACATGATTTTTATGGGAAAAAATGAGACTATAGATGTGAAATTCTGAAAGGTGTTACATAAATCTTATGTGTATTTTATTTAAAAAATACCTATTAATTTGATTTACTTTTTCCATACGCTTTCAGAGATCACATTTCTAATTTAGTTGGGTATTATTTTATATTTGGAAAAAGTAAAACTTTTTGACTTATTTTTGGAGGATGGGGGAGCATAATTTAAAAAATACAGAAAAGTATAGAAAATAGTGTTACAAATACTCATCAGTGTCCACAATTGACTCAAAATTTCCCCCTCATCTGAATTCAATTTACGTTTCCACTAGTAACCACATTTGTGGACTTGGTATGTATACTTCTAGTTCACCAAATTGTATTTTAAGTACGTTGAGTGCTTATCCCAAGAAATTTTGCAAAATATGCTTCTGTAGTGTGAAAGAAACCATTTACAAAGGAAAATGATCACTTCTTTCCCCATATTTTTTAGGCCTAAATTTCCATAATTTGGGGAAGTTAATTAAGAAACTTACTAGTATCATGGAGTATTAACAGTTTGTTAGAATGTATCTTATTAATAAAGCAGGAGTATTCGTAGTGTCACTCTCTGGGTTGGTTTTATGGGGTGTACTTTAAAGCTTTGTTGTGGCATTCAGAAAATTTTGGTATTGGATAGCCTGCCAAAGAAGGGATGGAAGATTTTTAATCAGGTATATTTTTGTAGAAAAAAGTCTTAGTACCATTTGTGGTTCTTTCTTTGATACTGGTAAGCCCATTTCTTCGAGGTAGTTACAAAAATGTTGGTTCAGTCCTATGATAAGACAAAGACACTCATATATACACTTTTGCATATTAAATGTTATCATTTTCTTGCTGTACAGTATTCAGTTTTAAGTATAATTCATCAGAAGGGTCTGAATTACTAGATCATTTTACTATTATTTATGGCATGATACTGTGGTAAATTTATGCTCTGGTCTATCCTACAAGCTTTACTTTTAATATTGAGGCAAATAGCATTCTTGGTGGGAATTTTCTGTTCTTACTTTGGCCAGAAGCTGAGGTGTGAAATAATAATCCTATACATTTTATTGAAAAACAAAGCAAAATGCAAAAACTGTATTATTAATTTCATGAGTAGGTGGACCAGTGGTTTTCCAATATTTCAGGAGGAGTTGTAATCAGCCTTGCTCTTGTTAGCATGTGCTGATTAAAGTTAGGAAAGGCTTAGACCTGGAGGTGATTTGCTATATAATGAAAGGAACTGACGAAAAATTTAAAATAGTACCTATATAACTATGTAACATAAAAATGCTGAGTAAGTTATTACGTATATTATTGTTTTGTCTGATATGTTAAAACTTAGTTTTTTCTTTTTTAAAAATAAAAGTGGAGGGAAAAATGAAGGAGAATATCACGTGGGGCGCCTGTCTCTTGCTGAAGCATGCAGTTCTGTGTTACTGGGTGGAGACTCATAGGATAAAGATATACATTAATATATTTGTTTTACTATATTTTGAAATCTTTTTAGTTTACGGAGAACTATGGAAGACAGGAATGTTTGAACGCATGTCTCTGCAGACAGATGAAGATGAACACAGTATTGAAATGCATTTGCCTTATACAGCTAAAGCCATGGAAAGGTATATTGATTAATCTAAGAAATCCCAGAGAAATCATAGATACTAATTTCTTTGGAATTATTTTAACTAGGGTAAGATAATCATTAGGCTAAGGAGATTAATTAAGGGGGGGGACTTAAAACAATGCAAATTAATCTCTCAGTTCTGGAAAATATTTTTTATTGGAAATGAAATAAAAATTTGAGGTTGGGTTTTCTTTTTTTTTTTAAATATATCTTTATTGATTTCAGAGAGAGGAAGGGAGAGGGAGAGAGAGAGAGATAGAAACATCAATGATGAGAGAGTCATTGATTGGCCGCTTCCTATACACCCCCTACAGGGATGGAGCCCGCAACTCGGGCATGTGCCCTGACCAGGAATCGAACCCCGATCGCCTGGATCCTAGGTCGATGCTCAACCGCTGGGCAACGCCTGGCTGGGCGAGGTTGGATTTTCTTAATGTGGCTTGAAGTTGGTTTTGAATAGTTTGGCTGTGAAAGCCGAACATGTGAATTGAACTGGTTGTTTTATTAGGGGGAAATATAAAAAACAACCACCACCTGTGGTGTGTGTGTGTGTGTGTGTGTGTGTGTGTTGGTTTTCCTGTTATTTTACTCATTAGACATTTCTTTATCTTAAAATAACAATTATATTGTTTTATGGTATGATGCCATGAGTAAGTAATAATAAAATTTTAGATTTGGGAACAATATTGGAGGTCATTCATTTTAGCCTTACGCAAAGTACATGAATCTCGTCCATAATATGCTTGACAGATTATTATTACTTGGTGTCTTCTAATGGTCTTCCAGTGATAGGGTACTCAGTAAACTATTAGTAGAGCGAGGACAGGGACAATATCTATTTTGTTTTCCACTTATACCTCAGACCTAGCACAATGCCAGTCCCATAGCAGCCATTAATTCATTTTGGTACAATAAAAGAATTGTTTTAAGAGCTCACTTTTAGGTCAGTATTCAAATTAGAAAGTTTTCCCTTTGTAGGTCACATTTCTCTCATTTTTCAACCTTTTCCTTTATATGGCTTAATATTCCATATATAGTTTGACTAGTTTTAAGTATGATGAGATTATTCCTTCTTGGGATCTCATCACTGTATTCTCTTAGTAGAGTATGTGGTGCATTTTTGGTTCTCAGTATATATTTGTTAGTTAATTGCATTAATGAAATTAGAGATTACATTAACATTTTTTGTGCTGTTGTGGCAAATGTACTGTGGTCAGCTAAACCCAAGGCCTTTCCATATTGTTAAACTGGATTATTTTATCCACTTGTACTTTTCTGGTTGGTTTCTTTTTAACCCTACATATATGTATCTCCTCAATTACTTATGTGTAATTTTGTTGGTTTTATTCCATTATTGTAGTCTTTTTGGATCATTTACACTCTTAATTCTGATATTTACTTCTCTCAGTCTTATGTTATTGATATCTGTTCACATTGATAACTATGAGGAACTATGTAAGTCTGAAGAAGTTTCTAAAAATCTGTGTGATATTAAATTAAAAGCTGTATAATTTTAGGTTACTTGTATTTTAATACATTCTGTTTCTTCAGAAATTGTTAAAGCAATATGTGATGTTTTTTTCTTGGAATATTAGTGTAATTGAAACATTCCCTTCTTCAACTACATAGGATCAGAGAACTTTTGTTATTTGCTGAAACGTTTGCATGTTTTGTCATTAGAAAGTATATATATATATTTCAGACTTAATAGATTTCAGTACAACGAACCAGTAAGCTGCCAGGAATGTCGTTAAGGAGGTTTTAACAAAATAGCATTTTTGTTATTATTTCCAAAATAAAGCATGTGTGCCTTGGCCGCTGTGGCTCAGTTGGTTGGAGCTTTGTCCCCTACACCAAAAGGTAGCAGGTTCGATTGCTGGTCAGGGCACATACATAGATTGCGGGTTCAATACCTGGTCGGGGTGCATGCGGGGGGCAGCCGATTGATGTTTCTCTCTCACATCGATGTTTCTTTCTTTCTCTCTCTCTCCCTCCTCCCTCTCTCCCTCTCCCCTCCTTCCTCTCTTTAAAATCAATTGTTTAGCTCATGTTTTTCTTCTTATACCTTCTCAGACTTGGCTATAAAGAAATCATTGACACTTTGAATATATTATCTGGAGATCTTCTTAGCTAGTTCTACAGTTTCACTAGGTATATTTTTAATCTTTTAAGTTACTTCATGTGACAAGTATGCATATTGTTCGGCCAGTATGTAGTACGGGTCACCTTTCTTCAAGCCTCCTATAGCAGTTTCCTTACTGCTTTCCAGTTTCCAGTCTCCTTGGTTGCTGTATCATTTTCTGCCTGCCTCTGTGAGTCGAAAGCCAATATTGTATGTTCTAGGTTTCTGTTACAATAGTACCCTTTCCAAATACTGTTTTTTGGCTTAGTCATTTATTGCAGCATGACAGATCACCTCAAAGGGCTTATTTGTTTATTTATGATTCTGTGGGCTAGAAATTTGGTCAGGGGTGAGCGGTGACAACTTGTTTCTGTTTCATTTGCCTGTTGAGGCAGGTTGGCGTAGGCTGAAGGCTCCAAGATTCCCCCACTTCTCGTCGGGGCTGTGACGGTGGTTGTCTACGGAGGTACCTTAGTTCTCATCTTGATGCTGTCCTCACCTGTTGTCACTCATCCTTAAGACCCTCTGTAGCCCTGGCCGGTGTGACGCAGTGGTTAGAGTTTCGGACTGTGCACTAAAGGGTCGTGGGTTCGCTTTCCGGTCAAGGGCGTGTACCTGGGTTGTGGGTTTGTTGGGGCACCTGCGGGAGGCAACCAGTTGACGTGTCTCTCTCTCATCAATGCTTCTCTCCCTCTCCCTGCCCCCCCTTCTCTCTCCCTCCATCCCTCTTCCTTTCTCTCTCTTAAAGAAAAAATCTATAAAAACATATTTAAAAAAAAGATTCAAAATCCAGGTTTTTTTGGGGGGGGGGCTGCTTATGTAGATACTCTTCTGCCAGCATAACTAGCAACAACTACTGAAATGCTAGACTTCTGGAGGGAAAGCAGGTGTTAGCCATAATCACATTTTTATGAGCAGTCTGGGCAATCTGGTACAGTGTCCCAAGGGGGTAAAACAGCCTTAATCGACATAAGGAACATTGTAAAAGTCAAGTTCCCAGATGTCAGCCAAGGACAGTCTTACAAGCAGGCCCTTCTAAAGATTGCATAACAGGCCTGCTATGTTAACTGGCCTGCAGAATTCCCACTCCTCTTTCCCAGTTCCAGGCGATTGTATTGCCATTCCAACTTTCTGAATTTTTGATTCACTCACGTGCCGTCTTAACCCTTATTACAGCGTAGGTTGTATTAGTTCTTAAGATTTTGCTTTCTTTTCTGATTATAGCCTGAATTAAGGTCTTTAAATATTAGACGCTGTTAGGGAAAAGTAAGATCTGTCCTTGTGTAGGCCCTCTTTAACAGAGTAGAACAGCTTGTCTCTGGACATAGAAAAAGTCTGAGATTTTCTTCCTCTGTCCAGCTTAAATGACAGCCACAAGAACAGTGTCATTTTCAAATGTCTTCTTATCCTGTGGCTTTTATACTCATGGTTATTTGTGCATTTCTGCACATGTTTTGCAGTTAAATCTTTTTTTGTTGTCATTTACTGAGATTTTTAGAACAAACATGGATTTTCTTTATATGTTTCTACATTTCCCTTTTCTGTATACGCTTTGATACAGATGTACGCTTTGATGTATACCTGGACATCGTCAGTAAGAGATTACTTAGAATTACAGAACAGGTTGGACCTGAGACATTTTTGTCGTAATGGAGCATTTTCAATTTCTATGACCATGAAAAGGGTGGATAAGGTGTAGTGTAAGGCATTTATTTTTATCTACATATGTTTTACCCTCTTTCTCCCCTTGAGAATATTTTCTATCTAAAATGAAAAGAGAATAAATCATATAATGGTATTATTGTGGCAACAGCTTTAGCACCTTTAGGGATTAAGGATAATTTTTCTTCGTACTGGCTTTGCTATGATTTGTTTAATTCTCACATCAGAAGCTCTGGACTGCTTCTAAAATCATTAGGGAATTGGAAGAATTTGTATGGAGAAAATTCTCATATTAATGTTGTTCAGGGGACAGATATCCAATTAATTCAAGAAGAAGACTAAGCAAATAACTGTTAGTCTACCGTACTTCATCTAGCTTAAAGTGTCATCATTTTAAGATTTAAATTATTTAGGTACTGCTAATTAAGTAAAAACACTGGCAGTTAAATTACTTTCTTATCAACTTAGAATGCTTAAATAGAATCCATATTTTTTTCTTTGTCATGAGGACTTTTAAGATCTGCTAGCAACTTTCAAATATGCAATGTAGAATTAACTATACATTAACTGTAGAATTCACGTTTTTATATTAGAATTTTTACATTAGAATTTAGACTTTTCATGCTCTGTGCCATTAGGAGCTTTGATGATAAAAGGATGTTGTTTGTTTTTAAAGAGAGTGTTCCACTGTTGATTTGGGATATCAGTTCTTTTTAGTCTGTTTCACATCTTAGATATACTAAATTTCTGTTGCATGGTGTAAGATGTAGGACAGAAAAAGAAGGGATAAAACTTTCCTCTATATTCCTAAAGAGCTCATGAGAGTGTTGTCGTGAACATTATCAACTCTGTTTTTGGTGATGACAGAATGGAGGCTTTGGATAGTTCTCAGTAGCCTGCTGCGGACAGCACAGCTTGCAGTGGCGAAGATGGGTCTTCTAAGTGGCTTTACCGAAGTGTGATTTACACGCTGTGAAACTCACCCACCTAAAAGTGCAACTCAGTGGTTTTTAGTAAATTCAGAAAGTTGTGCAACTACTAGACAGTCTAGTTTTAGAACATTTTATCACCCAAGAAAGATACCTTGTATTTATTTGGGGGCAAATTCTTGCTTCTACGCTCAATCTCAGGCAACCATTTATCTGCTGTATGTCCCTATAGATTTGCATTTTCTGGAAATGTCATATCAATGGGATCATACAAGATGTAGTCATCTGTGTTTGTCCCTTTTTGCTTAGCATACTGTTTTTGCGATTCATCCATGTTGTAGCATGTACCAGTAGTAGTTCATTCTTTTCTATTGCCAAATAGTTATAACATTATATGAATATACCACATTTTGCTTATCCACTCACCATATGATGGACATTTGAGTCATTTCCATTTTTGGCTCTTAGAAATGATGTTATAAACATTTTTGTACAAAGACTTCATGGGAACATATGTTTTCATTTCTTTTGACTAGGTGGTTAGAAATGGAATTGCTGGGTCATGACAAGCCTATTTTGTAATTCTTTCGGAAACTGCCAAACTGTGCCACAGTGACGGCACCATTTCATATTCCAGGAGCAATGCCTGAGGGTTTCAGTTTCTCTGCATTCTGGCCAGTACCTGTTATCAATGTTTTCAATTATAACCATTCTGATAGATGTGTAATGTAACCTCATTTTGGTATTACTTTGCATCTCTCTTATGACTCATGATGTTGAGCAACTTTTCATGTGATTAGTAGTCATTTGTGTATCTTCTTTTGTGAAAAGACTATTCATATATTTTGCCCTAGTTTTAATTTGATAGTTTGTCTTTTTACTGAGTTGTAAGAGATTTTATATATTCTGGCTATGCATAATTGTGTAAAAAGGGAAATGACAGAGGGGTGGTTGGATTAATCTTGAATCAAAGCTTAGATTTCTAAGTGGTATGAGACTTTTACCTCTGTGTAGATAGATTTGCAAGCTCAGACAGGTTAATTGAATGGTTTGGTGGCTCTTGTGGAAGGTAGATGTGTGTTATTCAGAGTAAGCCAACTATTGTTGACAAAGTACTTCTGTAGTATTCCTCACTTTATGAATTAGGTGTTGTAATTATGATCATTTTACAGATACGGAAAGTTTTAGGTTAGTAATTTAGCCATGCTTGCAACATTTGTATGTGCTAGAGATAATCCTTGAACCCATTTCTTCTGACTTCTTGTTTTTTATACTCTATATAACTGCTTTCCTACCATGTCATAATTACTTGCAAACTCTTTGATGATCTTAGTGTATTTATTTATGTAGATGGTACTTGGAGTTAGAACGGGTCGTAATAATCTTCTTGAATTTTTACTAGAGCTCAGTTCTTTTCTTTGAAATTATAATCACTCCTGAGTTAATTGAAGAGCCCCCTATTCCCTCACGCAGTTGTTAAGCAAATTGGTAAGAGTCAGAGAAATACCCCATGGCAGCTTCCTCTGCCAGCTTCCTCTTTTTTTCTTACTCCATAGATGCAGATTCTGCCTAAGAAGCCCCTGCATTGCAGAGGGACTGGAGATCTGTATGATCTGTTTATTTCGCAATTGACAAGGGTAAGGGGGCCTTTATGGGGGAGGCGCTTGGGTGCCCTGAATTTAGCTTTATGAAGCTGGGCTAACATTTATTTTGGGAATACTTAAACTTAGTATTTTAAAGAACTCTTTTATGAATTCTGTTTGTCCTACATCAGTAAAGTTTCAGATTATCACATTAAAAAGCATTTATTATAATGGTGACCCCCCCACCCCCGGGGCTTAAGTCCTGTTCAGAACAAGTCAGACAAACATGATTTCATTCTTCTAAAATTCCAAATCTGAGATCATTTAGAATATAAGTAATATTGAATATGTGTAAGTAAAATTTCACTACAGTGACCATTTTAAAAGGTTGTGGATAAACACCTATTTCTGTAGCCCATTATACTGTTTCTTTATTAGTCTGCTATGCTCCTTTTCCATAATCCTGTCAGTCATGGAGTGAAGAAGGGCCTGTGGCTGTCACGCAAACACTGGGGGGCGTGGCGTCTTTCTCTTGCTGCTAGAAATGAGTAACTGCTTTCTTGAGTTCTACGTTCACCCTAGATGCCAGTAAAATTGAGTTGTACCTTCAGACTGTCTTCTGTTTATTAGTATTAGGTGTAAGTGTAGTTGGTGAATCTTATGGGAGCCAGTATTAAGTATTGTAGGTCTCACTTGGCAGGTTTATAGAACAAGTGCCAGAAATGGTGGTAGTAATAATAGGAAAGGATTAAAATAGGTGTTCCTTTAAAATTGCAGAAGGATTGGGCAGATGATTCTAGCTTTGATGGATATATAAGAAGACTTGACTTGGTAACTGTCTGATGGGCTTATTTTTATTTTTGAGGATATTACTCTACCTGGTAGTAAAATAGCTTTGTTTACCTAAAGAAGTATTGTACATTTCTGTAATTTAACTGGATATTTTGAGTATTCTGTACCTTTCATTTTTTGTACCTCATATTTTTAAATGGTCTTCTTTATGCATTTAACTTACAGATTTTTAAGAACTCAACAATATTATGTGTATTATCTTTACCACTATTAATAAATGTTCCACTTTTTAGTGCAAACACATTGGAAACTATTTTGATTCTTTTTAAGTGACCTTTTTTTTTCTGTTTTCTTTAAGCCATAAGGATGAGTTTACCATTATTCCTGTACTGGTTGGAGCTCTGAGTGAGTCAAAAGAACAGGAATTCGGAAAACTCTTCAGTAAATATCTAGCGGATCCTAGTAATCTCTTTGTGGTTTCTTCTGATTTCTGCCATTGGGGTAAGTCCTAGATTTTAACATATCATGGTAGCTATTATATACTATGATTAAAGGTATCTTTTCATTCTAAGCTCTGAGTTTCAGTTCTTTATTACTTTCCTTGGAAAGCTTTACTTTTAGCAGCAATGTTTAAAAGTGAAGAAAAAGTCTTTTGGTCATTTAAAAAGGATCAGATTATAATAGTGGTTTATGGATACATTTCCAAAGGCGACTGGTATAATTGGATTCACACTGTGAGGGCATCCTTGCTTAGACACTTAACATTAGAGGGAGTCACGATCTGTTAACCCCATTTCCTGGTAGAGTTGTGTGGTAGATGCCCGAAGTTGTTTTTTTGGTGGATAAAACAAGTTTTCTTGTTTAGAACATAGAAGAGCACTGTGTGCGATGGCAGTCCTTTTCCACATTTCTGTTTTGTAATTAGCCTTTCTTCCTCCCTCCCTCCCTCCCTCCCTTCCCCC